AAATGAGGCAAGAAAAAGCATATTTCGAGTGTTGTACATTGCCATTGATGTTGATTATTTCGCATTCGTCAATTTCCTGTTTTCATCGTAAGAAATGTCACATTCCAACACGTAATATTTTAAGAATCGTTTCTTGACCGGATATTAACACCGGAAGTTGATGTTCAATCTATGCCGATAAATTTCAGAAATTACGTTTTGTATTCAGTAAATTTAGAAGCATTTACATATTGGTCATTTGCAGAAATGCTATAATATAAATATGAAGGAGACAAATAGAATTTACTATTTATTAGTATAACATTATTAAATATCGATAGCAAACAACGCATACCTATTGCATATCTATATTTAAGTACACTTTAATACACAAGCTATGACTCACAAATGATGATAAATTTATTTTTATATCTGCCGAACACAAAATTGTGACAACACAAAATTATTCTTTATCGGTTTTCTGAAAATGCTATACATTCTATAACATTAAGTAAATTAAATAATAAAGTAAGAATCTTATTTTAGACTGTACATATAAGAACACAACCAATATGAAAGAAATTAAATGTCTACAATGGTCGAAGCTGGATCTTTAATGTTTAAACTATTCAATGTGAATTATATTGTATGTATACATATACATATATATTATATATGTACAATTGTACATGCATATATATATTTGTAGTCATTCGAATTGCGCGCCGAATTGATTTTCTGGACTTATATACATATATTAAATAAATTATCGGATTTATATACATATATTAAGTAAATTCAATCAATACGCAAAATTTTGTCAAATGTAGTTTAGGAAATTTGCTCTAGGAAGCATTTGCTTTTTTACGTTCTCTTCTACACTTGATATAATAAGCGTGTAATTGTACTGCATCTCATAGAATACTTTTGTCATAGAATTTACAGATTCTTCAATCGATATAAAGCAGAGTAAAAAAATTGTACTTATCAATAAGTCATATATGTATATAGGTATAAGTCACACAACATTGAATTTAAAACAACAAATTTGAATAGATTCAGGCGATCGTCGTATTTTGTATCGAATGCACTAATTATATGTAATATTTTCTTTAACAAACATC